ATTGGTACATTCATTTGTTAAAAAGTGTCATTACATATGCCCTAATTAAATAGCATTTTAAAAACAAATCATTAAAATTTTTTTAAATTAAGTAATTTAAATGAACATATCAATTTCTTGCTAGTATTAAAAAGGAAATGTGAAGCCATATTTTTTCTACTTTACTGGTAAATGCCCATTTCTTTGCAAAAAAGCAATGAGTCATCCTTTTTCTGTCCTGCAGATTCCTGCCTGAGCCATTAACTCAAGTCTGTCCCCATCATTCTGCTACAGGGGTTTTATACACAGACCACTATAGCCAGATCCAAAGCTGCCAGGACCTTCTCTGCTGGTCCCAGGTTGGAATATGAGGATCTAGATTAAAATGTGTTAAAGAACCTAGTGAATCGTGTTAGCTACAGACACTTTGTACAAACCTCTACTCTACAGAAAAAAAAAGTCTTTTAAAAAAGGAAGTAAAGATAATCTAGTACTTCATGCACCCACCCAATAGTTACTTTTATGTTTTTGTTTTTAATTCCTGTGATCAGCAGGCAAGTCAGGGGAGTCTGGAAACCTGACAAGGAAGTTAGACTGTCTATTCTAGAAGATCCATCAGAAGTTCGGGTAGTCTCTGGTCTCAAATTCAGGGCAAACTAAACAGCAAACTGGTTTTTAAGGGGAAGTTGTAGCATGAACGGAACCAGGAGAGAGAGGGTGGATGAGTAGAAAGAGCTCTGTATCAACTATTGACAAAGGGGGTGGGGGGTGGGATGCAGAGGCGTGACCATCCTGTGAGGGGCAGCATGTATGTACGCAGCCCTTCCAGCAGGCACACCTCCATGCGTCATGGAGCATTCCCTTTTATGCTCCGTCTGTTCGGCAGAATGGTGCTATTGAAAAGGGTGCTATAGCTCGAGGTGGCAGAACTCACAGAAACACACTGAGAAAGGTACAGGTGGGGATGTGCATGGGATTCTATGCACGCATCCTCTGGTAAAGGTGTCATGGTGTTGCTGGCCAACACCAATTCCAGTATTTAGACTCCATGACCTTAACCCTTTCATGACATGATTATTTTCTGCTTTGAATTTCTTGTTGATACTATATGTTTTCAGTAATGGCAGGCATGCTGAAATCAAGGGGAAATTTTTTTGAGGTAGCAATGAATTTTGATACAACTATAAAAGACACATATGTCCCAGGTGGACTTTGGTGGTAGAATTGGTGGGGGTAGTCCATTTCTTCAGTTTCATGCAGCTCTACAAACCCCCACTAGCAGAGCAGTAGCAGATATGAGGAATGGGATTACAGTGTCCCAAGAAGCCTGAGAGGCTGAAAATGGTGGGCAATATATGCCCCACAAGTCACAAAAGGGCTAAATTGTATATTATGTTTTTACATACTTTTTCCAAACCATTACTGTGTGTTGTTTTGATAGATTACTGTGGAAAATGAAACACTGAGGGTGAGATGAAATTCAAGGTAGACTAGAAGCAGTATGAAAGTATACATATTTATCTTTTTAAAACCAGGAGGTTCATTTCTAGAAAATAATCACATTCTTGTATTCTCTGTCTTTCAATGTAAACATTGCTGGTCTCTGACAAACTCTGGTGAAACAAAAGTTTTAGAGAGAAGAAGATGTTTAAATTGTTCATGACAGGATTGGAAGAGAACTTGATTTGTTCTAATGAAGGTATTTGTATATTATTCTTAAAGGGTAGGCTTTCAGGGGGATTAATTTAGTAAACTGGGATGATTTAATTTAACTTGGTGCTGAACTCTCTCATAGAGTCAAATATATGTCATCAGAGATCTGAGTATGACTAGATTCCAAATCTCAGGAACAAACCCAGATTCCTACTGATCTCAACAAACTATATTAGGCCAGATTCCCAGTAACAAAGTGGTTCATGTTATTTCTGACCCACATGGTGGATTGGTTGGTAGACATATGGGAAGACTCTGGCCAGGTGCTTTATTCTAGGCCTTTCTCCAGTTCCTCAAAGACAGGAAGTTGACCTTTAATCATGTGACATGGACATTTACTTCCTACATGAGTACTCTTTTGTAAGACAATTTGACAGCATTGGCCATTCTGGCTTCAGGATTAACACAGTATTTGCTGTAGGAGTTGTCTGGAACCCTGGATGTTACTTTGACAACAACTTAGCTATGGACCATCAGTATTTTGATAAGTCCTCATGCTGGTAACCTGACAGGAGCCTCCAATTTACAGGGAGACTCTGAAGGGAAGAACCTAAATGGTATCTAGTATCTTCACCATTTTTTGGATGATCTCAGGGAGCAGAATGGTTGGTTTACTTCATCCATGGTTCCTCTTTCTTCCCACTTAGAATGAGCTAATGAAAAGTGTGCTAAGGGGAACTGGATATAGGTGTACAGCCAACCAGAGAGGACTGTTACACACCTGGTGCTTACATTAAAGTTCAAAAATCCAGTTTGGTTTACATTACCTTTTTCAGAGGTAGAGTTAGTTCTCCCCTGGAAAGTTACGGATTCATTTAATTCTTGAACACCCAAACATAATTAAATACACTATGTTGTTGTTGTTAGGTGCTGTTGACACAGTTTCGACTCATAACAACCCTATGCACAACAGATCAAACACTGTCCCATCTTCTAACTGTTACTATGTTTGCTGCCATTGTGAGAACATGGTACTTCAAGATGCTTAATAGTAAATATTTTCTAAAACAGGAATTAATTTTCCTGATGCCAAAATTGCTCCTTTTATATGAATGATTCATTTTATGATGGGTTTTCAAAATAAGAGCCTACCTCCATTCCAATGCATTCAAATAGCCAAGTCTCCCAACTATAGCAATGTGACGCTTTTAGAGATTCAGTGAATGTTTTTAACAACCTTCATCAAGTGTCTGATCAAGTATTTTCACTTAGCCTCCTTCAGCAACAACTTGAGAGATTAACCTTTCAATCGACTACATCATACAAATGCTGAAATCTACCCAGCACTACCCTAGAGAGGCAACTCTCAGTTCTCTCCCTTCTGCCTTTAAGGTCCAGCCCCAGGATAGGAGAGCTTACCTGGAGCTCAGTGCACATCATTCACTAGACACAACTGCCTGGTGCTACAACATAGCTAGTATATTGTATGCTAATCCTGTTGTTTTTATTGCTAATTCAGGTATTAATGTTATTAGTAGTACTAAAAGTAGTCCCCAGATTTCAAATGAGTTCCATTCTGAAGCCTGTCTTTCAGTCAAATTTATCCAAAATTTACAACAGTTAGGTACAATTTGTATTCAACATCAGTTAACTCAAATGTTTGTCATTTATATATATATATAAATGCATGAATTAAAAGCATTTAAGAAATATTCAAGATACAGTAAAACACCTTTAAAATAATAATTTAGTAATAATGGTATCGGAGTTCTGGTGTGGCCCTCTAGAATAATAAGCATTGGACCACAATGTTGGCAGTTCAAATCCACCAGCTGCTACTTGGAAACCCTATGCAGGGTTACAGTGAGTCAGCACTTAACAATGGTATTGATATTTTGAGTTGCAAAGCAGCACCCATTTGTTATTATGAATCATTGTATGTATCTCAAAATTTTAATATCATAGGCTTCAAGGGGGTTAGTTTGTAACTATGGGCTATATATAAGTCAGATGTTCTTTAACCTTGGGGACTGCCTATGTTATTATTTTAAGTTATGTCTTTTAAAACAACAACAAAAGGTTCTGCCTATCCTTATTCTATAAAGTGGTTATATGACACACTGGGTTGTGTGGCCCAATCCACTGGGTTCCTTTGTTACTAACCCTTCCCCAACCTCCTTAGGGAGTGCCTCGGGATGTACCCCGGTGTTTAAAAATAGACTGTAACCATAGCATGCATTTGTATGGTATCAATAAATGGCCAACCAATCACTGATGTTTCCATCTGAGTCATTTATCCATTCTCCGAGCTTCCCACATGCCCACAGTGCTGGCCTGGAGTTTAGCAGCAGGAGTAAGGATGCCGTCAGCTTCTTCCTCCCACACTCTTTCCAGATCCTCTCCTACTCCATCCCTGAATCAGAACATCACCAAATGAGTCACACCCTAGGTGGAGTACAACTTGGGTCTCTTTTCAAGAATAATTACATAGTGACTTATACAATCTACTATGTGATGATCTGAAATGATCATTAAAA